AGGGCTCCATGTAGTCATCATCCTTGATACCCCAAGCTAGCTTCTGAGCCTTAGAAGCTTCTTCATGCTGGTTTTCACCTGTGCCATTTGTGTACTCAGACTCCATGGATGGCTCCTTGTCAGCAGAGCCTTCCCAGAACTCTTCAGGCCTCACAGAGGAAGGCAAAGGAAGATCATATTCATGGCCATCATCAGACACCTCAGGACCACATGCATTTCCCTCGCACTTGACCATCTCTTCAAAGGTCCATTTGTCAGCCTGAAATGAGTCCTGCGCATGTGAAACATTCATGGAGCAAGGGTGATGACAACCTGTGCACTGCTTTGAGTTTGCTAGTTGTGTTTTGGTATACCCAGTCCTGCTCCAGCCATCGAGCCCTTTTCACAGTAGGGTCTCCCTCTTCATTGAGGGCAGCAAGCCTTTTCATTTTGAACCAGAAAAACTGCTTGTGAAGCAGAGTTGGCACACTGCTTGCAAACACTGTATCCATTGACAAGAAAGCTCTTCCTGGTGAGAGATGGAGGCATGTTTTGTAAACAATGTGTTGTTCAAACTAAAATGACAAAGATACAGATTGGAGGTGTGCTACCTACATAGAAACACCATGAAGCAAATGATAGCAAACAAAGTATGATTGTTATTTTGCTTTACAAACAAACCACATCAGAGAGCCTAAAAGGCTAATGAGAGATCAAAAAAACAAGCCTAAAAGGCTAATTGCACATAAAGCCTAACAGGCTAATAGCTCACAGAAAACACAGAACAACCATGGTAGGGTGTATAGGGGTTTGGGCAGGGTTGAAGCTGGTGAAGCAAACAAAGCAGTGCGCAAAGAAAATGCACAAGTGCACATCATTTTCCACAGGCGCAGAAAAGAGCTTGGCAGCATTTACATCCAAAGACTAGCTGCCTCATTTTGCCTTGGCCTTCTTTTTGGGAGGCAAACCATCATCAGATGCACCACCCCTGTACAACCAGCAATGTTCCTTCACAATAGCTGGGTTTTCCAGCATTGGAATTGTGAGGCCTTTGTAGTTGACTTCAGATAGTGCCATATTCACAGCATCATCTTCATCAGCTGTCTTGACAAACATGTAGGGGCAAAGAATGCCAGTCTCCTCTGGCTTGTCAAAAGATGTAAAGGTCTTGTAGGGCTGCAATGTCCAGGCCTGGCCCTTCCACTTGACATAGAGTCCTTTGGAGGTATCCAGTTTGCTCTGATCCTTCATTTTCACCACATTGCCAATGGGATACAATTGCAAATCCTTTTTCTTCAGTTTCTTGGTGGACACCAGTCCAGTGGGGTGCACAGCAAAGGCCACACTGTCTACACCCTTCGAGCATTCCATGTAGGCTTGAAAAAGTAGATAGGTGATTTGGGTCTTGTCCCAGTCATCAGCAATGGCTGCAGAATTCTCAGGCACTTTCTGCAGAGCCAGCTTAGCATCACAGAGCTGTGTCACATCCTTTTTTGTTTTCTTCCACTGTTTGGCATCCTTGAACTCACATTCCACTCTGACACAGTCACCAAAAATTGGTCTGTTCACAAAAATGCAGTGTGTATCGGTGAGTTCCTGCAGGATATAGATTTTGTCAGACTCCTTGGTGACATATTTCTCACCAACCTTTAGGTGGTCATGCTGGAGCAAAGCCACCTCAGCTGCACTGGCAGACAACAAGTTCCTCACCACTGAACCATGAGGCCCTTCTGCTGCAGAACTTGCTGAAGCCGAGCTTGGTGTGCTTATAAGCTCTAACCCAAAAGCTTCACAGATTTCCTCAAAGCTTGTCCACATGCTCTCATCTCTTCCATGCTTTTGCTTTTGCAGCAGGAACAAGACACACCTCACTGCCAGTTTTCCATACGCTTGGACATGCTGAGGTTTGGACACATCAATCTTGCCCCAGGAAGTCTTCAACACACCTTCCAGCTTAATGGCCTGCCCTTGTAAACTGGTCTTGAGTTTCTCAAAGTCACTTCTAAAGATGATTCTGCTGACATTTTCCAAGCTCTTTTTGCTTGTCAGTGCACAACAGAGCAGGGCATGTCTCAGCATTGGCATCTCAGTGCCCTCAACTCTAAAGTTGAAATAGGAGAACTCCTTCATCATTTCAGAGCCCAGCAACAATGAGGGACCAAATCTGGAACCTCAGCTGCATGGCCATTGGAAAATGGACACATTTGATGTTTCATAGCAAAAACAGTTGGGTAAAACAACATGCAATTGAAGCCAAACAGGCTAATGAAATGTGGTGGGATTGGTTGATGTAATGCTGAACATTTGTGTATAGGCAACATGTGTAGCAGTGTCAGTCACCAAAAATACAACTTACTTAGCTGGCTTGGCTGCTGAATGCTTGAAGGTGCTGCAGCAAGGGCATTGACTTGCCCCCACCAAACATCCGCACATAGTGAGCCACATCCTGCAAGTAGTGGCCACAAGCTGGTTCTCCAGCTTTGACAGATTTGAGGGCACTTTGTAAAGGAACTCCATTCTCCAGCAACTTTGCAATCTGAAGCATGGTTTGGAGTTCTGTGCTGGCCAAAGCTGTGGTGTTGCAGCTGTTTAAAGTCAACTGACAGAACCTTGCAAAAGAGCTCAGGCACTCTTCCACCTTGCAAGAAACTACACACCACTGCCATCCATCTTGAACAACTGATTCCAGGTCCAATGGCATATGTAGGGATTCCCCATTTGGGCTCAAAGCCTGGGATTGGAGAGCTCGACAGTATTGTACAAAATGGGAGCACCCTAAGGTTAAATACCTTTCCTGTCCACTCACTGCTGCCAGCATCCCTTGAGAGTTGGCTACCAGGTCTTTGTTCTTTTGCAGCTGCCAATTCCTAGTGGCAGGAACCTGAGAGAGCTCTATGGCCACACTGCTAGAGGGCAACAACGATGGCTTCAGCCCTGTGCTCAAAATCTTTTCTCCTTTAAAATGCACGTCGTAGGGGTTGCACATTGTTGACCCCCTGTTCTCTGGGTGTGTCAAGAGCTCTGAAGGCTTTAGAGTTGCCACCCATGCCAAATTGTTCCTCTTCAGCACATCTATGATTCTATCCAACCTGGAGTTGACCCCTTGGTCAGTCGACTCCATCAAAGCTTCAACTTCAGCTTTGACTGCAGCTTCCATGGCCACTGAGTAGGAAGCTTTGTGCACTCAAACACAGGTACATGTACACTTGCTCTCTGCATCTCTTATGCTAAGTTTGAAGCCCTGTACTAATCATGAGCGCCCACATGCTTGCAACAACAATTGTTCAACCAACATCTACTTGATCAAAACATTAAATCCACAGGCATGGACAGCAAACTTTCATAAACTGTCAGCATAACTGTGAAAACAAGTCTTGGCACAACACATTTGCACCTTTTTACCTCACAACTCTTCCAGGCAGCAGCTCCTAGCCCCTTGCAGTTTTCTGGTATTTGCCACTCTTGGTGTAAGCTCTGGTGGCACTTGCTTCTCCAAGGTCAGGTCGAATATAGCTAAGTACTGCTGCAATCATTCCAGCATCCAAGAGAATCATGGGGTCTGCCACATTGTATCTCTTTGCTGGACACAACATAGTGACAGGAGTGTTGCCAACTTTCACCTCAACAGTGAAAGATTCAGTATTGTATTTGTTGGGCGCAGCACTAGCATCAGCTTCTTGTTGGTCTTCCCAATCACCCTTGTTGGTTCCCTTCACTGCTTCATTCCTCAATGTTTTCAACATCTGAAATCTGACACCATTGGCCAAGGACATATTCTTCTGACTCTTCTTGGACACAAGCTTGGTGATGGCATAGTTGGTGGGCGACAATTTGATGTAAGTTCTGCCATCTGAATCCTGTAAGGGGTTGAATGTGGAGCTTGCCTAGTAATTTTAGTTTCTCCTTGTGTGTGTGTGTGTGTGTTTGTGTACTTTCAATGTTGTTTTTGAAAAATGCAGTTGGCATGGCAAGCATTCATGTTGAGCCCATGTCCTCCACAAGCAAACTGGGTGGGATTTTGACAAAGGCTCCTTTCCCAAACTTTATTGAGGTCACATGTGATATCTTCACAGCATCCTCACCCATGCTGTCACCATCATCTTCAGAGCTCTCCCCCATGGTGTATGAGGTAAACACTTGAAAGCACCCTTGTTTTTCCAATGAGCCACATAACCAATCATTGTTTGAGCCAGCAAGAAGCAGTTGTGCCCTGGTTGACAAAATGCTTGCATTTGCACACAAACAACATTGTAAAAAGCTCTTGCGCAAAAGCCTAAAGGGCTAATGTCCACACACACAAACTTGCTGCAAAACAACATTTGAACCAGCCTAAAAGGCTAATTTGCAATGCTGCCAAATTGAAATTGTTGACAAGAACCAGAAACATGTTTTAGACGAAAACAACAAATTCTATTTCTCTTGAGACAAAAATAATTCAACAAAGCTGTTCAATTTTTAGCAAAAAAGTTAACATAAAGTTAACATAAAGTTAACATAAAATTAGTAACCACTTATGAAAAATTAAAAAAAATAACATAGTTATCTAACAGTTATAAAAAACTATTAATAATGTTAACTGATTATAAAAGTTATAAGCATTTAGTACATAGTTAGAACACAGTTAACACATAGTTGTAACTAGTTAGCTAATGGTGTTAACAGTCAGAACTACTTAACAACACACCGGCCCATCTAAGTACCCGACAAGAGAATGCTTCCTCTCGACCCTGACGTAGGAAGATAGATTTCGCTGAGACCCTGAGAAGATATGGGTTGGTCTGGCACAGGAAATGTCAATGAGACACAAACAACTCCTCAAAAGAGTACTTCAAACAGTACTCTATATTCTATATATAATACCTTTAAAAAATCAACTTCAATACACTGTAATATTGCATATTATTGTATTTAATATTACTGATATACTCCCCAAAAGCAACCTCTGCCTCAGTAGGTCAACACCCGACCCGGCTGCAAAACGCGCCCTGCGAGCTCCACACGCGCTCCGCGGAGAAACCCACCTCCGCCGTGTTGAAGGCGGAGAAGCCGCGGCGGCCCTCGAGGCCGCTCGAGGACGCCACGTCCACGAAGGCGACGCGACAGTCCTCGGAGTGTGACAGACCTGTGACCGTTCCCAAACCATCAGACCATCCATGGGAGTGGAATCATATACATGAACATCACATGTTCAAACTGCGGCCCTATGCTGGTAACTAACTATTCCATACATGAATGGTCGGGGTATGTATGTTTGTTGGGAATATGGATTCGGAGTCACTGATGTATACATTTAGTGTCTCTATAGGTCTGCAAGGTTCTGCTGCATAAGAGCCTACGATCTATAAAGGAGAAGCATGGTGGTTGTGGTCTATTGCTGGTCTTTCTCGCTCGAAACCACTTACAGCGACTTACAGTATCACTTAAATGTCTCTCTGTTTCCCTCTCCCTCTCTCTCTATATGTTTATGTCAAACTGTTATAAGGCTTCTTCATCCAAAATGTGAGAAGCGAACCCTATCAACACAAGCAACATCGTTGGATGTGACCACTCATATCATGAACCAACAAAACACCATTAGTGTCATGAGTCAAAGTACTCATTAGTCAGGGGCAAGGACCTGGCGAAACAAATCGATAGTTTTCTCAGAAATGTCGCAGTAAGAGCCAAGCTTGCCCCGATCTGGTTGTTATTCGGGCGCCACAAAGATCTCAAACATTGAAAGGGCCATGCCACCCCACTGGAGCACCAACCCAAAGGGTTTCGAGACGCAACAGCCATCACTCGAAACCAGGCAATCAGTCAGGATCAATCATTGGCTGGGAAAGCACGTGGAGAGCCTTGGGGGCATGGTACTGAACATGGATAGATGGATGGTCAAAATCTGTGCTTTACATCAGGAGATGGGAATCCAAACATAGATATAGTATATAGATGATTAGATGCTCAAAGCCCGTCTTCCTGTATCTGACCCAACTCCCTTAACCCAACTCCATGTGCACCAACGTGATCCCGCCGCGCCACGGGGTTGGGCCATGGGAAGCCGGGAACTGCCTCGAGGGCCACATCGTCCGCAGCGTTCACCAGCTGACCTGGCCGCCGCATGTTGGCGTGACTGGGCACCTTCCCAAAAGCTGACCGCTTGGGCAAGTGGTGGTGTGCATCCTTCTATGGTGGCAGCAATCACCTCTTTACAAGGGGAACGGCTTCAAGACTACGTAAAAATGGAAAAAAGTACACAGAAACCAAAACAAATGTCATGGCCCTTACGAGCAGCAGCTTTCTACCTATGCTCTACGTCTGCCCTGGTCCTAGCCCCAAGCGGCCGGCTTTCCAATGGTCAAAGAGGGCAAATACAGTGAGTTCAGAGTAGATCGCACTATCCTCAAGTTCGGTGGTTTTAGATGGACCCCTATCTAAAGGACATCTTGGGGTGCCAGTGCCATCTACTGTGAAACCACTGTGCATATATGTGTGTGTGTGTGGTTGATATAATTGCAAAAAGAGCCTCACAGCAGCACCTCAAGGGATCAACCCAAAGGATCGGGGCGCCCTTTGTGTTTTTCTGCTTCCCGATCCCTTTGTCTCTCCATCTCTCAGAAGATCTAAACACATTGGGGTCATTGCTCGTAGACCACCGTGGCATTGGTTTTCCGCCGTGGTTTCCACCTGCATAAAACATCTCGTTGGGGAAGTCGGCGATGGAGCTATGCATCCGCCGCTGCTCCAGAAGCAAACTGGGCTCCAGTCCGTTGGTCACAGCCTCGTGCGGTCCCGCCCAAGAAGGCGCGGACTGTCACGGTGTCTCCTCTCTTACTTTTCATGGAGGAGCGGAAGGCGCGTTTTGTTACTGGCCTGCCAGGAACTAAACCATCAACAAGGCAACACAAAGAAAGAGAGACATGCACTTGTCAAAGGATCCGGATGGACCATGTTGTGCTGGGCCTTCGGACATCTAAAGTGTCTAATCTTATTGGAAGTTGATCAAAAAGCATCAAAAAGCCATCAAGATTGATATCCAGGTGCTACTCCACTTCTAAACCAGCCTCCACTCAAAAAGGCCTGCCAATATCCACAACTTTCAACTCTCAAAGGGAAAACCACCCCCCAGTGCAACTGAACGTCCAACATGTCCAACACAGAGTAAAGAGTTTAAAGGACACTAGTGAAACGTCATGTCAACCAGCACCCACATTGTATGACTTGTTGCAGGGGAGTTTAGATCACCGAAGTAGATCTGATTGACATAACCGTTGCAGGTCCTTCCACCCCATTTGGATCGAAACTCTCACACTTCCACCCACTTCTTGTCAACCACCTGGTTCAATACTCAAGCAAGACCATCCATTTCCCCAACCTCTTCCAATCACTCTCGATGTCTCAATCAGTGATTTCAATTGTCACGTTCGATCCCTGGCTTATAGAAAGGTTGCAGATTTTTAGCGGTATATTTTTGTATATACAGTAAATATATATATATATTGTGTTATAGTTTCTAAGGCTTCAGTCTTCTGTAGTTTAAAGGCTTGCTAGCAAATTATACTTGCTGTTCGATTAGTTTTAGTTGTTTGTTTTGGTGTGGTAATTATGTTTTTTGGGGGGCGAGGCTTTAGTCTTTTATAATTGTCATGTGTTTCTAGTTAATTCTAATTGAGGTTCAATTAGTTTTGATAAATTGTGTTAGTTTGTGTGTTTAAAACAAGTTAGTCTTGTGTACTTTTAATGTGTGTTTTTTAAATAATCTAATTGATATTCAATTAGTTTTAAGTAATTGTTAATTTAGCATGCCTTGTCCTTTTACGTGTCCTTGTAGTTGGTTGCTAAATGTCCCTATATATAATGTATCTGTTCAATGGTAATGTTCTTTTTAGATTTCCTTCGACATGTCCTTGTCAATTTCCTTTTAGGTGTCCTTTAGATGTTTTAATGTCCTTTTCATGTCCCTTCTATATAAATATGTCTTGCTTATTCATTCTAACTTGTTTGCTGTGAATTTGCCTTACAATGTTGCTTTCCATTGATTTTGACTTTCCCTGAAATGTTCTTTAAAGTTCCTTCTTAATTGAAATTTCCTTTCAAATTGTCATTCCAAATGTCTTGCATAATTTCTCTAATTTCTTGTAATTGTACTTCGAAATCTACTTTTAATTTGTCCTTCCTTCCTTCCTTCCTCCCGCCAGCTAATTAAGCAAACAACTATCTATATATATATATACATATGTGTTTTTATATATCAAACTAAAAACAAACCATATTCCACTAAGAATCACTAAAGTATACCCCCTTATAGAACAAATCGTAGATCCAAACTGATTAGACATGCACACGTTTGTTTGGTCTTCCGTTTGTGGTCTGAATCGCAAAGTCATATGGTCCTGCATACGTACTAAAAGTCTGAAGTGGGCAGTGATGACATCAAACAGGTCCTAATGAACGTAACGGGCCGAAGAAACAACTCTTCCACCATCAAGAAGCTAGCTCGAGACTGCCTTGAAGAGAGCTATGGTCAGTAGGTAGGTCAAATGGAGTTGAACCACATATTCAGATTAGTCAAACTGGTCTCAACGTGTTTCAACATGTTTCAACCAGTTCTTCTAAATCCACCTTAATGTATACAAGAAAGATTTTGGGACTCGATGCCTCTATGCACCCTCCAATACATAAGACATAAAACACATGTCACATCAATCAAAAGCACCCCACTCCCAAACTCGTTGCCACGCCCAGGTGCCATTCGCTCGAAAAGGCTCAAGCCCAAGCCGTCAGAGGCTGCTGCCTTCGACAAGACCGTGGCCGGTAACTGCGCATGGTCCCCGATGAGCACCACCTATGGCCGGTGGTGAACTTGGCGCATTCCGGTCAACTTGCCGCGCAAAATAGTGGATGGGACGAAAAGACAGAGCTTCAGGGAGTCAGCAGAATATCTGATTGCCAGGAAAGTCAACTCACCAGGGTTTCGGAGCTCAGACGGTCTTGACCCATGCCCTTTTCGGCAACTTCTGACCATGAGGTCACCAAATCAACTCAACGAAGTCACCACATCAACTGAAAGCGAAAGCAAGACTTTCACGGTCATGCACTTCTTGGCCTCCTGGCTGAGAGTATGCCGGTGCCCTCACCTGCCCTCTGGCCGCCCCCCACCTGCTCACAGTGCCGACCCAAGGGCACCAGGACCGAGGGCTCACAAGCTTGAGTGCATTCATCCACCAGCACTCGTCGGAATTCACCTGCCATTTGCCATTCGTCGGAATGGCGCCGTGTCAGAGGCAGGGAGTGCCGCGGCTCAATGGGAATAGACTTGAGACTACGCCGTCACGCAACAACCCAATATCTGTCGACACTCCTGTGGTGCAACTACAGTGCTGGAAGGAAGCAGTTCAATTTCCCATACCCTTCATGTCATCACCACCCTCACCGTCCATTCGCTAAAGCATCCGAAAGCTCTACTATGCCCCCCCCGGCTCAAAGAACAAAAGGTCTCTAGCCCAACGGGTTAGACGAGTCAATTTTTGTCCTTCTTCCATGGGGCCGAACTGGGTGTCCTGCTACTCAAAAAAATTAAGAATACGCAACAAAAAGCGTGGCCCTTTGAAGTTCTGGGGCTTTCATCCCAAAAAGGACCGGACGAGAACGAGTCGATCCAGCCTGCAGTCTTGGTCAAAACCTCCATGCCGCTGCCAATGCAGGTCGCCACCAAAATCTTTGCCTTCACTGCCGGGTGGGAAGGGGGAAGAAGCTCATGCAGCACAAAGTCACATACATAGGACGTCCAAATGCACCCAAACATACACCAGCACAGAGCAATTGTCAAAAAGAAGGTGGGTAGATGCGTAATGATCAGCATGCAGTCCAATGTTTGATTGCTTTCAATGTTGCTCGTCTTCAAACTTACCATAGTTCCATACAACACCACCAAGCGCCAAACATTTTCTCGCACACAGCGCTGACGGGGCCGGGTCACGCGCTGCACTTCTCGATACATGCTTTCTCCAGAAAGGCCCTCGACTTCCTTCCCCTGCCCCACTCGTGTGCAATCAATTCCTCAGGTGCGGCAAGGCAGGTGCTCAGGTGAGCCCGCCACCCCAAAAGAGATCAGTAAATACACTCCCTGGAACTACCGACCATGGAAGTGAGTGGCATGGCCCCTGGAAAGATCGTTTTCCTCTACACTTCCGGATGTTCGATGGGGGAGGGCATAAATCACAGGCTATAACAAGCAACATTTGCAACTAAGCCTCCCATCCTTTGCAAGCGCACCTGCAGCTGATCACAGAAGTGCAGAAGCGTGATGGCACAACGGTTGGCAAGACCATGCTACACCTCCTTCAGTGATCTCAAGAAAAGGAGGAGCTATCAGGATGCCCAATAAGCCCCCTCGCGAAACATTGGGCTACCCATTTTCGGTCACAACAGGCCACGAGGCCTGGAAACAACGATGAAAGGGTTTGGATCGGACTCCTTCGAGGCCGCGACCCCCAACGGTGGCCGTTCGCTGCCGGAGAGTCGCCGCAGTACGAGGCCCATGGGCACATGACCATCACAGGTGCGATGGTCAACGAGTTTTCTTCGAAGAAACGCGTGGCATTTGTATGGCAGTGGTAGTGTTCCCTTGGGAAAGGGACATATAACATATAAAAAGTAATATAACATGGGTATGTGGGAGCTCTTCCCCTTTTGCGCAACTTCACATATCGGTGTCTTGACCAACTCCCACGTGATCTGATCACGCCATGCAAGGGGACCATGTTGCTATCACCTAAGGTTGTAGGGCACAGAACCCGGTCACAGTACGCCCTGCATCCAGTGAGATGAACATTGGATAAAGCTGACATGGCATGGGTCAAGAAACACTAGATCCTCCAAATCACTACATCGACCCCCAATCCACAAAATCCCCCATACCTCTACCTCCTGCCCTCCTCGGTGACATGTTTCACACCTCTATCCACTCCTCACACATGCACCTGATCACATGGGGGATGAGATCTCCGAGATGCATAAATGTTATCCGCGGCCACATTGGAGTCTGCCACTGCAAGGATCTTCTCGCCCATGGGCGCATGGATGCTCGCCCAGGCCGCTAGAATGGCCTGAGTCGTCTCGCTCCAAAATAACGAAAGGGAAAACCGGACCAAGTAACCACGACCCTCAAGAGACAACAAATTCATCTATCTAGACCCTTATGGTGCCCAAGAGCCACAACAAACATGCTGGAGAGTGCTTCTAATTACAGGTCTGTATACAACCTGATATTTGACAACTCGGAATGGGATCCTCACTCTAAAATGTGAGGAGCTCCTGACTTGTGCACAGAGATGGTTGGGGTCGCAGCAGCGCTGTCTTGAAACCTGAACTGAAACCTACAGAATGAGAGGGGTGCGTCCTTGGCGTGCTCCTGATGTCAAGAATCGTGGCACGCCATACTGCGGCCATTCACATGCCAAAAATGCATAGGATATGAGAAAGTGGGTGGATTTATGGCACCAACTTCTAGGACAATGCTAGTTCCCCAAAGGACTCGCACACTCCTAATCCACCATTGTGACTTCTGGTTTGGTCCTGCCAGGTGACACATGCCACTTGCGTCTTCCCAGTGCCTGGTGGGCCTGGTGATCGTTTGAACGACGCATGGCATAAACGGAGTTAAGGGGAAATCATAGAAAAAAAATCCACTCAACGAGTGGGTGTATTTCCTGGAAATGTTCTGAGTGCAGTTGAGCTCTTCAAAGTCCAGTGCTCCTTTTTCTACCGGGCGAACTGGATCCACAGTGTTGTTTGGGGGTTTCGCATCCTGTGGCTTGCGACTCAAGACTCAAGACCACTCACAAATGTTCAGACCTTTCATGAGTTAAACAGGGACCAGATCACGCTTGTCCAACATCTTTTTCTTCAATTGTGTTGGACATAGGCTCTGGGTGCTACATGCCAGACCGATCGCGCAAGCCAGCACATGAACGCACCTTGGACTAAGCTCAAGCGTTGCTCCAACGCTTTCAGCACGGCTTCGTTTTGCGAGGGGGTGAGCGCGGCAATCAGCGAGTAATCCCTTGCCAGCCTCCTTACATGCCGCTGTGCGGGAGCAATGTGCAGCAAAGGTGTTCCACTTGATACAAGCAGGGACCAGGGACTTGGTTGCATCATCATCATCATCTTCATCATCATCATCATTCACACCAAGGGGTCACAGGTTAGGGTGGCCCTAGACCCCACCCTATATGAGTGCGCTACGAATTGCCTTCAAGACTGGATACCCTTGAGCTTCAAGTTTCGCCAACGAAGTGTCCGAAGCGTTGCTGATGAGGAATGGAACTCTGCTTTGAGCGCAGCTTCTGGGAACAGGCACGGCACGCGCGGATTCTTCTCCCGGCACGTGTAACCACGAGGACATGAGGACAGCGACGGTCGCAGGTGTGTCTTCAGGGTGCAGTTTCGAGGAAGACATGGCAAAGTGCCAAGCTGGCAACACTGGATGATTGACCCCCCGGGCGATGCAACAAATATAATCTAGAATTTAGAATTATATAGAAATATAGAACAGTGGAGGTTTCTGACATGCATGTAGAGGCAAGCCATAGCAGCTTGCTGAACCAACAAGAAACAAAAACGATTCAGTGCACTTTGAAGACTAAAGGGGATGCACTGAGACTGTCATGATCGTTTGGTTGAAGCAACGATTGAATCCTCCATCTTCCCAGGATTGGAGTAAACTCAGGTCTGAAGCAGGTGGCCAAACATGGAAATCATGGCTATGACCGGGTTCTGGGCTATAAGCGGCTATCCACGAATTCGGTGGAATCCGTTGATCCCTCTTCGAAAGCCCCCGGGCGCTTCAAACATCCAAATGCGGTAAAGACACAACCTGCTGGGAGGTGTCTTAGGTGCTCCAAAGCCCCACCGGTAGCCTCGTTGCCTAGGCGGCCTCGATCTCCCCCATCTACAATACAACAACGGGTGATGGGTCTATCGTGACTTCTTGACCCTGGAGGAGGCCTGAAGAACCAACACAGGTTGAGAGACATCACCTGACCAGAGTTCAAGGCCAGCTCTCGGCTGTTCAACCTCTGTAGACATGCTGGTCCGAGCATCTCCAAGTTGTTCTCCGCGAGCTCTCGCGTGAGTCCACCCCTGGCAGCTGCAGTGGCCTTTTGCACAGCTTCCTCTGGGCCAGCCACCAGCAGCTTTTGAACATCATCCAAATACCTTACAAAATGAGTGCCAAGAGAAACAGGTCATGGCTTCGCATGTCACCAAACCCGGGTGCCACCCCCTAAACTTCCCGCACTTGGATCATGGGGCTCTACGGCAAGTGTCACTGATCTACCAACTATCATATGTATATTGTCCATCTCATGCTGACGCCATCACTCAAAAACACATATATACAAACACCCACATATTGCGCAAAAAAACAGTGCCACAAACTATACCTAGGAAAACAAGATAGATAGACAGCCAGACAGACAAATAGAAAGACAGATAGACAAATAGACAGATGATAGACCGACAGATAGACAAATAGACAGATGGATGGATGGATGGATGGATGGATGGGTAGATAAAAAGACATAAATAAAAATAGACATACAGATAGATACACAGATAGACAGACAAATAGACAGACAGATAGACAAACAGACAGACAGACAAACAGGCAGACAGACAGACAGACAAACAAGCAGACAAACGGACGGAAGGACGGACGGACGAACAACCGGATAGACAAACAAATAGACAAACAAACACACTAATGTATGCTGCAATAGAGATGGATAGGACAAAGAGCTTGAATCGCAAAGTAAGAACTATAACATCACTCCACCTCCAAAATAAAACGCCCTTCAGAAAGCTGCCCTTTCAGAAAGCCTTTCATCACTCCACATGATTCCACATTTACCGCGAAAGCTGCCCAAACACCGAGGCTGCATCACCCCTCTCCAAGGTGCTGATAGCTGGGCTTACTCTCGTAGTTCTCACTCCAAGCCGGCAACTTCACGCGAGTCAAACATCTCAAAGCTGTGAGCTGTCGATCCATGGGAGTTTCCATCGCCTCAGCGGGTCGCGCTCCAAACAGCAGCGAGTCGCGCAGCACTACGAGTGAGGCCGCAGCCGCCGACCGTGGCGAGCGCGGTTAACACGTGGACGCCAAGATGCTAAGAAGAAGAGCTTGAAATTCCGACCGACAGTGATCGGTGAGAGCCTGTGATCGTGGCTCGCAGGGTGGAAAACAATGAGGTGACCCATGGCAGAAAGGGATCCATGGAGCATGAGGTGACCCATGAAGCATTTGGAGCGTCCTAGGTGACCCTCCCATCTATGCGCCTCTGGCCCCCCTCCTTGAGCTCCACGTCCGCAGCAAAGTCGGAGATCCGCCGCACATTCAGCCGCACCTGACGGGCGAGATGGTAGCAATCCAGCCACCATAACCCAAACACTCCATGTATGCCATATATGCCGATCAGTTGGGGTGGTGCCAGGGGGGTCATTGGGGCGGCATATATGGCAGTCCCATTAGTCGATATTAGTCGTGTCTGGGTATGTCTGGGTAAGGATGAAGGCTTGGGGTCTCTGTTGGTAGAGTCCACGAGCTACTCAGTTATATACTCCTCTAGAGTGGGACTACACTGGTGGGGAGAAGATCCCACTTACACCTCTGATCGTGACATCTATGGCCTGTCCATTGGACATCCGTGATTGCTGAACAGCCCTGTTAACTTCTGATTGTGCACCAGGGTGAAGCTGCAATACTATACCCTAGGGCCCTAGGGCTCCAAGTTCCTTCTGAGAAAGCATTAGGGGTGGGTTTGGAGGGTCCAAATACCTTGGATGTACTTGGAGCCCTAGGGATACTGATTGCTCCAGCCCCAAACAAGGCAGCTGCTCAAAAACCCAGGCGGGCGCTGAATGATCTTGATCAATTTGGCAAATCAAGACAACGACACATTTCAGTCGATCAACAAACGAGTTTGGGCCCAAAGTTGGCGTTGAGTGGTTGCTCAGCCCTTGAACCTGATGGTGTCAGACCAAACTGGCTTAGGAAATGTATACTCATCCGTGCTGGGCACTGGTTTTCCACACTTTTGGTCCTCTCAATCTGCTGGGACTGCCGCCGCATTTGAAGTCACCATGCCCGATCCAAACGATCCAACCCGGTACCTCCCCTTTGAAGCGGCTAGGTTCCCACCATGCCCGGATGTGGGCCTCCTCGCCCATGCGTGGGTTGCCAGTAATGGAGCTCACGCTCGCAAGCCAGGCTTCCGGATGTTGCCAGCCCGTACTGTTCCCCATCCTGAGGGTGTGGGGAGTCCATCACCGGTCCATCACCGCTCGCAAGAAGCACTGACGAATATACACAGGTATACACGGCATACATATAAATATATATATATACAGTAGTATATATATATATATGTATATAATTACTTAATTTAGGCCGCGGCTGCAGTTACTTAAAGCGATAAAGCACTTTATAACTGTATATGGATACTTTTAGAATGTCTACATGTGCGAGGCATCTGGTGTTCTTGAAATGGTGGGGGCGGAGCTTCCGCCAGGGCCGCTCCTTGAGTCCACATCTCGCGACCCACCAATGGACCTTTGAAAGGTCTAAAAACATCCACCAATGGACTCTTGGCCAAACGAGCTGCATGGCTGAAGTATCCAACACCCCATTCATGGGAAAAGAACAGCTGCAGGTGACTATAGGTGTATATAGGTCATCTATGTTGAGCCACGACCACTTGCCTTGCCGAGTCTCTCCGGTTCCTCACCCCAAGTCTGTTGCTCGACCTCCTCCGCCGCCTCACTGGGCACCAGCAACACCAGGTCACTCGCGCGGAGCGGACGCGCGCCCTGGCGGGAGTGCATCGCGGTCCGCGACGGAAAGGCCCAGCAGAATAGACGACCTACTAGACATGGTCAACCCATCAGGGTGAGTGAAACGGGCAACCCAGGTGCCATGACCCACAAATGCCTACAGCCAAAAGGGCCTTAAGGGGGACCTTCCTGAGGATCTCTTCGGCTTGGACAAGGCCATGCCCTTCGAACAAGCCGTCCAGTCTCTTCCGCCAAAGGGCCTTTGTCAAGGGACTGAGTTGGATTCTTGGGCTTCAAGGGACTGGTTGACCGGATGGCTCTCCACACTCATTTCATGTCGTTGAGCCAGGAACATCTGGCTGCAACTCATCTGTTATGTCTTCAACTTTTAGAATTGATTAAGCTGAAGGGCCTGAAGGGAGTGGCCAAGTTAACAATCTGAATCTTCACCCCGAGTACAACCCAGGCTGTTTTTTCGGGAGGAGTGCCCCCTGGGCATCGCCAACGCAATCTTCTTAGGCGCAAAAACACATGTGAATTCCGCCCTGGGTTTTCCCTACAGGTTCCCAACCACAGAAAAGGAGAAAATCATGACATCATATGACCATCATATATGCAAAAAGGCCAATGATCACCACATGGCTTGCATCATTGTGCCTCGCACGTGTGAATCCAAACACATATATCCAAGCCACCCAATCCGCTTGCAGCTCTGATTTCACGATGCGTCTGCTTGTTCCCCCACTCTGTCCCACGCCCACCTCCACCAGCTCCAAGATGTTACCTCAGTCCGTGGGGATGGCTGCATGAGTCGGATCAAACCAGGTCAAACCATCCATCCCATGGGATCTGAAGGAGTCGACGAGGCAAGCATCTGCGAGAAAGTCGGCTCGCATGGGTCACTGGAGGCAAGCGAGGCAAGCGAAGATGTCCATGTCCATTTCCATTCGCTCGGGATGGGCATTTGAACAAACGTGGATGCTGAAGAATTGTGCACCCACAAAGTTACCACCACATGAGCCCGTGGCTTTTGCCCACGTGAAGAGCGTGGACAATGCCATCCTCCCATTTTTGGAACTGGAAGGCTTCGTCGTTGGGGAAGCTCCGTGGGTCCCAAACATGGAACTCTTCGTTCCCAAACACCGATCTCGACAGGGGCGCAGCATGGCGCAGCCACGAAGACGGCGTAAGCGAGAGGCCACCAGAAAGATCTCCCAATGTCAGGGGCGGCACTTCTAAGATCTTCACTCGTGACCTGCAGTTCTACTAGTTTCTGGTGTGCCTGTTCCACTACACTTCAGTGGACATGTCCTCCAAACATATCACACAAACCTCGCTCGCTAGTACTTGTTTGACTGAGCTTTCTGTGGGCCTTGACCGTGAAGAAACAACTCACTGCCTTTCGAGATGTGAAAGAGAAAGAGCGGCCTATGTGCAAAAGAATGTCCATGGCCCATTCATGGCCAGGAGGTTGTAAACCACTATATAGTAGGTTGTGAACCACCTGTTGTTCATGGCCCAAATACCATGGCCTCTTCATGGTCCCTTCATGTGTTTTGCTTCATGGCGCCGGCGACGGTTTCCATCCCAGTGGCTCTCAGGAGGCGAGGACAGGGCGATCCGATCCGCCTGCACCGCGGTGTGAAAAAGAATAAATGTCAATCACCCAAAGGGTCCCAAGTTGGGCGAGATGGTTTTTGTTTGGTCCTGCCAAGCCCTGTGTGCTGGTGGTCTGCCTGCAGCTGTGAAGCTACCTGCAGCTGACTTCGTGCTTTTTGTTTGGACATCTTCGGTGTCTTTTGGTGTGTCAAAAAATCGCAAAAGATCTACATGCACAGAACCGCCGGCGGTTGGATAATTTATCTTTTTTGGCTCAAGCCAAAGTGAAATAGATCATAGATCCTTCACGGATGAGGTTCAAGTGAATGCAGTAGAACAAACGATGAAGGCGCCGGGGGGGGGTCAGTTGAGTGGGTGCTCATAAGATCTCATAAGCACCTCCCGAGGAGCATCACAGTCGCTCCCCTGGTGGGTTCAGTGCCTACTGATCACAGCTCTGCGCCAAGACAACTTGCCGACCTGGTGTTCCGACCAGGCCGGTTCTGCGGTTTCTGACCGAGTTGATCCTCCAGTTGTTCCGTCCAGTGAAAGGGACAGCGGTGAGAAGCCTGGCTTGGGGCTGTATACAGCATCCAGTTCCACCGGGTTGGCACGGAAAAGAACCACTCTCAGAGTCCGATTGAAGTCTTTTTCAGTGACACCAAGCACCCAGAAAAGGCCAATGCAAACACTCTCCAAACCATATCATAGATTCTGATGATGTACTCGTGCTTGCCCTATCTTGCCCACAAAAGCCGAAACATATTAAGATGGGGGCGAAACATGGCAGACCAAACCAGCCGTATGACAGAAACCATCACCCAAATAGAAAAAAGGGATAGGAATCGGAATTTGGACCCTCGTCCCGACCAAACCAAGTTCTACACCGCACCGGCGCGTCTCCCGAGATCGACGCGGAAGCTGCGGTAGAGACCGCCTCGCAGAGGTGGACCTCCAGGGTGGGGACGCTGCAGGCAGCTTTGGGATCCAACTCGTAGGTTTGGATGCCCGACATGAGCCTTTCAGAAAGCGAAAGGTTTGAGCAGCCGAAATCAGAGGGTGCACTGAACACCCAAACAAGCGATGATCCGATGGATGGAGGTCGATGGCGAAACGAAAACAAAGGTGGTCAGGCCACCGGGGTCCCGCCCCGGTCGACCGGGATTCCGGGCGTCGCATCAGCCGTGGATTGGAGTCAGCTCCCCGTCCTCCAGCCACACCATCAAATGATATTTGGAAACCAATTCTGAACATAGATCTGATACAAAATATATGATACATTCTGATCCCTACAGGGTAAATATGACCGATGACCTGCCTGGAGTTGGTCATACAGTCATACAAAAACACTACTTAAGGAGATTCAAAGGGGACAAGAATAGACAACAAAAATAAACACAAGGTTATACTGGATCTTCGGACTTGTAGGGTATCCGTCGTCTCTGAGATTGATTGACCATCGACATTGACACCTCGGACTGACCCTTGCAGCTGGGAGTTGGAGTCGCTGGTGTCCGCTTCAGAAGAGACTGGCTTTGGCAACCTGACGAGAGCTCAATTCCAAGTCCTCTCAGAAGCAGGACATTTTGGGCTGCACCCTCTAACATCCTTTAAACGAAGGAATTGATGTCAAGACCCTTCTTGAGGGGATTTGGCTGTTCGGGTCAACTTAAAGCTGGTCCATCTACAGTTATCCAAAAGTAACATGTCACCCGCTCAACAACTTGTCAGAGGTGGGCTGCCTATCTGCCTGCAGTCGGTCCGCCCTCTGCAATCCAAGTTGCCCTCCGTGTCGCTCCAATGCCAAGAGATTCCGGAAGCGCTGGAAGTACTCCTGGGGTCGATCTATATAATTAACATCCTGGAGTTGCGTTTGCCTGCTTTTTTTCAGCCACTTTGCGAATATGCCGTAATGACCAGGGAATATGGTCAAAGTTCAGCTTCATCCGTAATGACCAGGAAACTGTCAGTCAAATGACTGAAATCGCTGGTTGTTTTGGTCATATGTGACCCAAATATGGATACTACCCGAACAACGCCCCAAAAAACACAAAATAACCCAATAAACGCCCAAAATATATTTTGGCTTTTTCCCGGAAATGACCACAAAAATAGACATAACAGCAAACCGTAATGACCAAAAAAAAGGCCACGACCGTACGACCAGGAAAATTCAGCTATTTGCAGTTTCAGGATGTTTTAACCATCACTCAACCGTCTCATCTCCCACTCCAAGTGGTCAAATTGGGGTGCTTCAGTGCTTCAAGGTGCTTCAAACCTGGACCAGCAAAATGCACCCAGAACATGGAGTTTCCAAGTGCTTCGTATGTTTGGGGATTGCGCATTGCTGGGGCCAAAGTGGGCCCTTCTCAAGTTTCTCCATCAACAGGTGTGAAGCGACGTGAGATTATACGCTCTGCTCGGAGAAGCGCAAAGAAACACGGCGCAGAGTTCTTTGGCGCGAGCAGATGCCACACGACGTCATGGACACTTTGATTACAAAGAACTCCACTCCCAGAAATTGCCTTTTTGAAAGGGCCAAAAAAGATTCCACTAGAATGAACAACAGTGATCACTCCTCCCTCCCGCAAGCAAGCAGATCTGGATGGGGCTAAATGGGCTGAAGGCCCTGAATTCGTTTGATTTCTATTGGACCTGTTCTAGTATATAAGTTGGCTTCAAACGGTTCCCAGTTCTACCTCGATCAAATTGCATTTAGCAAGGCAAATATCAATGCTTGGCTCACGTGTCTGACCGTGTCTGATGTCACCCTCGCAAACAAGTCTGGTGGTCATTGAGATGTATCATCCCGGTATATCCCGGTTCTCATCCCCTTTCAACAATTGATAGAGCGTAGGACCCCGGAAGCCGTGGCCAAGTCCCCGGATGCCGTGGCTGTGCCCAGGTTTGACCGGTCCTTCTCCTGAGGTCCAGGAAAGGCATCATTGAGAGAAAAACCTCAAAACGTCACAAGACGTGGCAGAAACGTCACCAGACAGCAGAAGTGTCGGAATCATCAATCCAAGCGCAAGACGGTGCAGGAAATGGTCGTTGGTTGGATGATGTTGGTGATGTTGGGTGTATCCCCCAAAAAGCAAGGTCTAGAGTGGATGATGATGGCTAGTACAGGCCGAAATCCAAAAAATAGTAATACTCTTTACCCACTGCTACTGTGGGACACGCCCTAGTCGTTGGATTCGCCGCTGTTCCACATATCCCGTACGAATCAGGGAACCAAAACGCCCGCAATTCGTTGGGCAGCGAAGGTCCCAGCCATTCAACCTTGCACGAGATTAAAAAAAAAAAAAACAAGGGGGACGAGTGGACGGGCAAAACTCCAAGCGAAAGGAACATTGAAAATTCATCAGACCAACTGTGAATTCTTGGTATGCTGCAAAGGCTTGGTTTTGCTTCAGCCATCTTGAAACCCTACTGTCAGACGCAGCCACAGCCACCGCCACAGCAGCAGCAAAGCTACCCTCCCTGTCAAAAAAAGTATTAAATGTCGACCAATCAATCACAGCCCGGTAGAACATCACATTCCTGAACACTTGCCCAGTATGCCATAGTAAGCCACCCGGCCCCCTGCAGGAACTTAATTTTGCTTCACCTTCTGATTCTTGAGTTTCCTGGGTACTTTGAAACACTTCGCACACCGAGTCTGGAATCCCGTGCGTTGCCTGCTTCGTATCTCTCAAACTCACCACGTGCGGCCAAAAAGTTTGATAGTCATTCCAGTCACCCAGGGATAGTCGAAACCAAAGCACTCATGCATGAATTGAACCTGAAAACTCACAAACAACTGTTGCTCCCAAGGAGCCCGCTATCTGTCGCAAGGCTGGCAGCGCCATGAAGTAGTGTCGCACAGCGAAGCTGGCCTCATGTTGAGATCGGGGAGGACTCGGCTCGTTGCTGGAGGCAAAACTCCAGAAAAACAACATGTGATCATTTTCTGGCTGCAAACAAGAGCCAAGTATAGAAAAGTTTCAAAAAACACATCTTCAGCATGTTTGAAGTGATTCTCCCTGGCTCCGTCAGTTCCCTATGACTCTTCGGGCACAAGGACTCGCACCTCATCGAGCAAGGACTCCCAAAGATCTACTGGAAAACCTCCCTCGCTGCTGTGGCTCTGCGCGGTGTCCAAGAGCTCATGCATCAACGCCTCAGTAAGGATGAAAGCACGGGAGCGCTTTCAGTGAAGGCAATGTGGAGTGTTTCAAAGCTTGGCTTGCCTATATTGGTGGAATTTGCGTAGAGAGAAGCACTTCTTAGTGTATCAATCATGCTCTAGCAGCCGTCCACATGTAGAATCGGAGTCTCCATTCAACGGGGCACCGTGTCGAGAGAGACCCATGTGCGCCATGTGCACGGCCTTCCGATTGGATGTTCCACACTTCGCCAGGCCAGGTGACATGAACTCTCTTTTCAATGTCTTGCAGGATTCCCCATCGCTAGGAAGTAAGTGTTTGGATTCTTTCGTTTGGCTGGTCGGCCCAATCCACATGAATCCAGAAGCTCGTCAGGCAACAAAGAGTTCTTCATTCTTCATCAAAGGCTCTGTTTGTTTTGTTCATAATATTATAGTTTTATATCTATTTATTAACATTCGCCATCAGATTGGTATAACCCAGAAGTGGAGATTCACCCACCTCTAGTCTTTGCGGACAAAAACCCACGGTCTTCCAACATGTTCCGTATACGTTCTCCCCGAGCGTTGAATCGCTGCCATCGTTCGGTCTCACGTTCTCCCACTCTCCCAGCGGAGTAAAAACACTCCAAGAAGCCCGATCGCCTGGCGATGCTTCACCGACAAAGCTCTTAAAGGGTCTTGTTTCAAGAAAAAGCTCCAGGTTCTCTCTCTCTCTCTCTTGAGCTGACCAAAATTTCTATCAGGAAAACGACTTTTTTGGTGGAGTACCTCAAAGAGTGCTGTGAACTGTTGTCAGGGCCCCTTGGCCTATTTGACATGTGTCGGAAAGTCTGTGAGTCACTGTGTGGCCACGTCACGTGCTTGCATATGCTTGCAACTCTTGACTGACCATGGAACAAGCTCACAACCATTCACAATTGACTGTCCCTGTGCCGGGCTTGGGCTTCATGACTTTCGAACAGCACCAGCGATCATTTTTTCGAGATACCGTTGCTTAGATTGACATCCCCAAGCTGGCGCCCCAAACCCCCGTAGTGTATCATCGATTCTAATTGGGTATTTCACTTAGACCCTTCAAACGGAATGCGCTGCAGAAAATGCAAAGATCTCCCTGTTTAGCGAGTTTAACGAGTTTCTCGGGCAAAAATCCTGTTTGAACATGATCAGTGACACAGTGACACCATGTGGGATCAATCACAGCCCCATGGACTCCTAAGAGGGCATAAAAACATGTTGTCCAATAATTTGAAGGATTTCAATCTTTGAGTAAGGCATGGTAAGGCATTTCGACTTGCCGATTAATAACACCCGCGGCTCCATATTCCAAGTATATGACGCAAATCCAGCCGCTCGCGCCGCGGAACGCGGCCAGGGCTTTCTCTCGCCTTCTCCCAGCACGGCGCGCAGCACAGAGGGCAAGAAGAGGCTCCAGGTGCTCCTGATTTTCAAGCGGAGTCGGCTTCGCAGCACTGATCACGGATGATCAACCCACTCACCTTCCTTCGAACAAGTGCTCGAGGTGAGTACAAATGGTGCCCCCACCCGCACTCCACGCACTCCGGCTTGCGCCTCCAACGGTCGGTCAAGTGCCTCCAACGGTCGGTCAAGTGCCTCCAACGGTCGGTCAAGTGCCTCCAACGGTCGGTCACGCATTCCGAAGATGTTTATCCCCAGAAGTGGGTGGCTCCCTCCGGCCAACCACCAGCGATTTCGCATCTCTGCTAGGCCGCAGAGTCTGGGTTTGAGAAGGGGCCTTAACCCAAATTTGGCCTTCCTCCAGCCAGTTTCTATGCATCTTCTGGACCAAACATGGTGGATGCAGAGCTTAGTCTTACCTTGCCTTCATGCCATCGATCAAATCCTTGATGTTGTGTGGTTTGAGGGGATGCATCACCAGCAGGAAGATAACTCCACAGGGCGTCGGCTCAAAACCACCAATGTAGTGCACCCTTCAAGGCCCGCCAGGAAACGGCCAAGGTCCAGCCCGATGGGATGACGTCTATGTCTATGTGGTGCAGTCTTGCGAAATCGCACGTCTCCCACCGGTTCTTGCATCAGCCCAGGGCTCATGTCAGCCGTCTGCATCAACGCCATGGACTTCTGGCAGGCGTCCTTTCAAACGCTCGTCCAGTGCTCGACGCTTGAGAAGGCTGAAGACTGGGCAGGGTCACGGTCTTTCTTTGGAAGTGGCGGAGGAAAAAGGCATGCTGACCGATGGGCGGTCAGAAATAGATACCGTCCATACAATTTGATTCCATACCCTGCAAGCATGATCAAGCATGGAAGTGAACGTCCCCCCTGGCAAGACCATTTCAGATTTCAATCCTCTCAGCCTCTCAGGGACCCACAAAATTCAAGAAAAACAACAATCAACAACATGTACTTCTGTTAATAACAAAAACCAAACAAAAACAATAACATTCAAGAAAAACACAGGTTTTCTTGCAGGGTATTTCTTCTGTTCTTGTTTTCTTGATCGCTCCTGAATGCGCATCTCCTGCAAGGCTCGTTGGATCTCCTGACGCCGATCCCCGATCCGCCGGAAGAGGCGGAGCAACGGCTCGGGTCAGCCGGTGATGCTTGGCAGTATAGGCTCTTGACTCTTGATATATCCAACTCCCCCATGTGGATTCAAACGCCATAGATTGGGGTTTATAGGAAACACAGAGTCTACAATGTATGTCGAGAGTCTATACATGACAATTGTCTACAGAACTCCTTCGGTGAATATTCTTTTAATGTTCCAAGCAAAAGGGGAACATATGCGGGATGAGGGAATTTCGGCGGCACCGCAGAACTGCTGACTGCTGTCACTCATCTTATCTCAAATGAGAAGAAATTGGTCTTGTTGCACCCTCCTGCTTTAGATCGAATTGCAATGGAAAGAATACAGTTGCCAGGCTCAAAGAATCAATATTGAACTCTTTCCTGCCCACTCCCGCTGGAAGGACCAAACTAGCCGCCAGAAAAAAAGGCCCCTGCAACTCCCAGAAAAGTCCCCTTGGGGATCGATGTATTGATTTGTTGTCGTTTTGTTTTCGGTAAGCCATCGTCCAATCTCTGCGTGGCGGAGATGGGAAGCGTCGCAGCGCAAAGCTTAAGGCACAATTGATGAAAAGAACACCGGTTTTGCAACGCACACTGCACACCCAAGTTGTTGGATGGGGCTTGGCCATCGCTGTTTCAGGCATGACGGCCTTGTTGAATCCGAGCTCTCCTGCATCTCCTCTGTCTCTGCCTCGCTGGCTTTGGGCATTTGGTTCTGCTGCAAGAGCATCTGCTCATGGGCCATCGCCTTGACTCGACAAGGTGAGGAGAATCAAGTTATCGTGGAACGTTTTCTTTCCGAGTTTCGTTCATGTTCAACCTTGACTTCGTGCACGGTGCACCGCAATCCCTCTTGACCACAAAGAAGACTCACATCGGCGCGCACTTGTCGCACGAATTCTCCACGGCACCTTCGCTCTTGGCTTGGTGGGAGCAACTGCAGTGACCTCCTCTGTTTGAAGGCCATTATCGCTGTCATAGAAGCGCCAGGTGAGCTTACACTCCTCAGCTTACACATCCGGGAATCAAGCCTACAATGCACAGAAGCATCATCACCCGAAGACTGGAAACACCTGTGAACCCCCATGGTGCCGTAATACATCTCATGTGGTGCAGGACTACTCGTCTCCATGATATTTTCCCTGGCCAAAAACACGTCATCTTAGTTCCACGCAAAATGCACACCTCGGGAGACACTGCTTGCCAAGGAGTGCTTCTCAAGTTCTGCTTGTTTCAACTCCTTCTGCGTCCTTCTGCCGCGTGCTCCGTCAAGGATTTCCGCCCAACAATGGAGAAGGATGGGTTAACGTCCGATGTCCAAAACAGAAAAACACGGACTGTTGCTGAGAATGTGACGGTCGCCTCACGTATTCCCGACCCGGTTCCACGACTTCCAAGCAGCAATCCCTGTGGGTGTGGTCTTGTAGTCACGGCTCGCCTCGTTGGTGAACTTCAATGTCGAATGCCAATTAGTAAAGTGGGAGGGAATTAAAAAAGGTCAAACGATTCCCACACCAGAATAGTAGTGGGGTAGTACAAAGTTTATCACTCGGGAATGTATTTTTTAAAAATATATAATGTTAATCAATTGTGTTTTCTTTTGTTCAGCTATTGCTGTCCTTGCAAATCCTTGCCTTGCTTGACGTCTGAGGTTCTGCTTGGTTCGTAAACTATGACCATAAAACCGTATCGAAAATCAATTTAAAGCTCATCCAAATCCTTGCTCCAAACACTTTTTCAAGGGGCAGTGCACAAGGGGATGTGAAATTTGCGAATTGTTTAGGGGGTGGGGTTAATGCGCCAACTTGGAGCCCTAGGAAAAAATATCCGGGGCATTCATGGGGGGTGGAGCTCTCAAAATATAACTCTAAGTCTAAGTCTATAGTTTTCTATTGTTTTGTTGCAACTGTTGCTACTACTACGACGACAGCGACGATGACTACAACTGCTACTACGACTTCAATTACCACTACCACTAGCTACTACACTACTACTGCTGCTACTGCTACATACCACTACCACTACCCTGCCACTGCCACTACCACTGCTGCTACTGCTGCTACTTCTACTATTAGTACGTACTCCTAAATAAATTTGGTGGGGTTGAGTCTATTCAGTCTCCCCGGATTGGTTGCTAGGGCTAGGGGGTACCAGTTATACGGTATTTACATATATATATAATATATGTATATATGCTATTTAGGATCGATCATGTTCATGCATTTTCCATGAAAACAAGGCTCACCAAGTCCTGTGCAGGGATAGACTATCCTTCTGACTACTTAGTTGGGAAAGTGGTTTGGACTGTATACGTCAGCAGGGAACCTGCCCTTGTCCAATGCTTTGGCTACCACACTCCTGTAAAGATATTAAAGCACCAATGATTGTGTTTCATTTGCCTTGCCTGAGTTTAAACTAAAACCCTCAAGTACGCATGGATTGGAGACTTCCCAGATATTGCAAGTGGTTCTTCAACCAATCAACCAATGTTGACCTTGTGTCAAGCAAAACTTAGGGTCTTCCAGTAGATGGAATTGCATCCAAATGACTCAAAGAAAACACTTTGACTTTAAGAAACAAAGGCCTTTTGGCACTCCTTGAGGTGAAACGGTCGAGTCATGTGGTTCTTGTCCAATGGCGCCCATGACTTGACCCCACCAACCGCTGGTGGTCCTCAAAAGAGCCCGGAAAGCGAAGAGCAACTGCTGCTGCAAAAGGAGGCCCAACACAAGGTGGACTTCCCTCACTTCTCTAGCTCAACTTGCTATAGGGGCATGCCAAAAAAAACGCTCAGAAATCGGAGCTCAACGCTCGAAGAGCTTCCGCCCAAACTCCATGCCTGGATCCGAAGCTTTTGGATCACATTGTTGTGCATCGCGTTGATTTCTCCCATCCGAAGCCGTTCTTGGCTGGCCTCCGCCAAGGTCAAGGGCGTTTTTGGTCCGACCGCCGGCGTAGACCCACACCCAGAACGAAAAAATCTGGAGTCTCAAAGATCAACAACTGGGCGCCAGCTTTCATCGCCCTCCTATTTAATGGTCCTCAACACCTCCTCCCCACCGAAACCACCGGTGGGAGCCTTGCTGCTTCTCGCCCGGGACCGCTTCGCGCTTGGCTCCGTGGCCGTCCCTGGCTCGCTGGGCTCGGCGGGCTCTGCGGGGGGGCTCGGTGCTGGGTCTTTGCACCAACTCCTGGCGAGAAGTGACGCAGCGGGCAGGTGGGAGCGAGGGAGCAGGTGGAGAGCAGGCCACCAAAATGCGGTCCGACCGAGAAGGGTGAGCGAGGATGTGGCATCGATCCCTGTGCGAAGACCATTTTGCAGGTCAAATGATGTCACATGAGACATGTAGAAGGCAAAGGCCGTTCTTGGCGACCACCGCAAAGGGAAGTCCACCAAAAGAGACCATCGAAGAGATTTCAGCACGTGACTTGGACATGCCTATCCAGTCATCCTATGTCATCCTCTCCAGTCTTGGTCTAAGGTTTGAAATGGTTTGAACCATTATTTACCACTCTTTGGATATCTTTGGACTCACCCAGCTCCAGCACGCATTACCTACAGCTATTCTCTGGAAGCCCGTGCTCCCAAACAAACACTGACATGACATGGTACATGAATCAGTGCCTGACCAACAACCCGACTAAGTGTTCTCAAGTTCTCAAGCGCAACAGCCGGCCAAATTTCTTGCACGTCAACTTGTGGGGATCCCACAACACCACCTCATCCAGCAATCTCTCGCACCAGAACAGCGGGAACCAAAGAAAAACACACACACACACACATCCAGCATCCTTGGGCAACACAAAACTGAAAGCACCAAGCCACTCCGAGGACGCACCGACCGAAAAAAGGACGCGGTTGGGTCCTCCAAGGAGGCTGGAAGCTTCTCATAAAGTGCTATGAAAGCTCTTCGCCTGGGGCACGAGGCAGCCCCCATGGTTCCAATGTTGCAGCCAGTCCGGTGAGGTCCACCGAAGAGCTTCAAATGGGTTCTTTGGAACGGTGGTTGGGTCCATGTGGGGCCACACCGCTTGGTTCCCTTGTTGCGTCGTTGTTCTTTATGCCTATAGAAAAATCCAAGCCAAATGGAACAGCGCAGAAACCACCATGCACTCCCCTTCGGTGACCCATCCAACCATATAGATTATATCCAACCTCCTGAAGCTTTGCCAAGCTTCCAAGCTTGCGAGGGTGGGCACTCGTCAAGACCAGTTGGGTGCGCATTTAATGTGGAGACCCCCCTGGCCCTGTCTGGGTAGACTGGTCTATTTCCCTTCTTCCATGGGGTCGAACTGGGAGGTCCCCCTAATTGAATGCACACACATGTACAGTACTGAACCAAACCCATGCTGGTGTACCAATCCTGCACGAGATTTGCTCGATTTGCTTTCACCACTCCCATCTCTGGCAGGGCATCGTCAGGTCCAATTAAACCTTCTGACACCTTGATCGTTGTGGAGGGTGTGAGGTCACATCATAATCTTGGTGAGTAAACGCAGCAGGCTGTAAGACACAACTCGCTCAGCAAAAAAAAGGAAAGACAGTAAAGCCCCCAATGAACATGGTTTCAGAACCTACTTCAATCCATGCAAAGGAACCCTGCATTGCATATCAGCATATATCAGCAAATCACCACAACCGCCTATATGACTGAATTTATGAGCGATCACCAGGTTCAGAATCTACAACCTGCCCAAAAAAATGATAAAAAAAAGAGAAAAACCTGGGAATCATTCTGGTACATTAAATTGGCCGACAGATTTGAAGGCTGATAAATTAGCCGAAGGCAAATATGCATTCATGTGTTGTAGTGCTACTAGTGGGGTCTTTGGTAATCTTGGTCGCCAGGCGCCCTCCCTCCCTTAAGGCTCCAGCTTTTTCGATCCACTGCTTTGTTCACGCAAGAACATCCATCCAAATCTATTGGCCAGCCTTAAACGCCACAGTTCACGACTCCCAAACCTGATGCAGCTTTATCAAGTACCGCTGCAAGGTTCTCATGCACAAATTGCGTGGAGGGGCCCTTCGACTAATCCTTGCAATCCTTCCAATAAAGTCTTCCCCAGATTCACAGAGAAAGGAAGCAGGACTGAGCACCCTTTGAATGCATCTATTTTGGAGCAGGTTCCTCAAGCGCACACCCAGATGCATGTACTGGTGTAGGCTGGGCTCGAAATGAAACCTGCATAGGCCATCATTCAGCATGGTAGTGGCCAAGAATGCATATGCTGAGCAAAACAATTCGACTGATTCCACCAATTTGTAGCCATCATCACGCGTCTCCCAAAGATTGGGTTGGTGGATGATTCTGAAAAAGAGTAGCCCTGCTCTAGTAGCGTCGTGCATAGCCTCAAAGACTGGAACATGCGAGGCATCCAAAGCACTTTGTGTCAAGGAAATGTTTGGTCTTGCAGGTTGCCCTTCCACCTTCACTCCGTGACGCAAAACTCTCAGTAGCCACCTGAGGAGAAGAAGGGTGTCAGATCCCTTCCAACCCCCCCAAGGGAATGAAGCATTTCGTGGGAAATGGAACAACTCCTTTGTAAAGCCCTTCATGTGCGGGGAGCCATGGGCAATCTCGTTTTTACAAGCCCATCTGAAATCTGTATGTGCGTTGGAGAGCAGATCAACTATGTTCTGTGTAGACCCAGGGAAGTAACCCCACTGACAAAGAACAACGATGCAGCTTGCACAAAAATGGCGGCCAATCCCGTACTTGAAAATGTGAAAGGGGTCGCTCTTGTAGAAGTTGGCCGCTCGGCTTTGGTCACAAGGCACCATCCGAAATGGTGAAACATTATCATTGCTCCACGGCTCTGTGCGCCACATGGTCGATACCCACGCAGCTTCAGGAGAAACATCCTCCCAGGGCACATTGGCCTGTCCTGCATCACAATATGGGCACATGCCCTTGTTGACACCCAAATTTTGGAACGAACGCTGCAGGTGACCTGCTTTGATCAGCGCAGGGAAGTCCCCTTTGTGGCCTAAGCAAATACCATAGAACTGTTGAACTCCGTTGCCTGACTTCAAATGAACTGCAACACCATCATGGAAAAGCTTGCAGCAATCAGAAGCAATCTCACTCACCATATCACACCACAAACCTTTGCCAACTTTTCCTTTGTACATTTGGTGTGGCATGACACAGCAGAGAAAGCGGCTGTTGAAGGAATGCCCTCTTGATGGTTGGACTTGGGAATCCAAATAATAGAGATCTCCCGTGGAAGTGACCCTTTCGTAATCCTTGGCATTTGGGATGCCGAACACGCTTTCCATGGCAAACACTTGCACTGGTGACTTCCGGTATCCACGCCCCTCGTCAGAGTACAAGTAAAAGGGCACACAGCGGTGCAAATGCCCACCATGTACTCTATAAACATCATGGTTTGGGTCCTCCAGTTTGTAGGCGCCCCAGAAGCTCGACAGGTGACTTTGAACCACTGCCGATTCAGGTGTGTCACATCCAGCGCACAGAACTTCACTCTTGTTGTTCAAGATGTAGTCAAACCAAGTGGTACACCGAATCATTGGGACAGTCACTAGCCCACGTTTGATTTGGGAAATGTGTACCGGCACAGTGAGCTTCCAGTCATAGATAAGTTGATGTAATCTCGCTTCAGCATGACCCAAGTCAAGCTCCCCCAAGAACTTGATGCCACGTAGACTACCTGGGCTCTCGTCCTCCATGGTCCGAGCCAGCGAGATGATCTTCTTGGCAGGGTCCTTGGCCGGGGGAGAAAAGGGCGAGAGAGGATCAAACCCAAAGAACACCAATGCCTCACGCACAGCTGGGTCATGTGTTTTTTCCATTGCAACACTCTTAGGGCAGAACTCCATCGGCTAACGCAACCACCATCTTTTTCGCTGTGGGGCCAGGACCTGTGCATGGGGTACTGGACATAAATTGTTTGGCGGGTGCATTGAGAAAACAGCACTCCATAATGCAGTTTCCTCAATGCACCCAATGTCAGTAGTAGCATACGCCATGCACAGCAATTTCTTTTGTCCCCATCGTCGGTCCCTCGGTATCAAAGTTGGCAGCACAGGATTTCCCGTACTGTCTCGAATCAAAACCTGTGCTCAACTGAAGCCTCGGCCCACCTGACCCATGATGGATAGTACAAACTGTTCCTAGAGTTCGGGTCTATAAAGCTTAAACAGCACCGATCAGGACTATGGGCCAAGTCGTTCACATGGAGCTCGAAAGAAATCAGTCGGTCTTCTTGCCCCTCACCCGTTTCTTGGGTGCTGCTGAGGTTGGCTCTGCAGGTGGTGGATCCGCTTCAGCCTTGGCCTTTGCCTTCGCCGCAGCTGTCGAGGCAGTGCGAGCCGAACCCCTTGTCGAAGCCGCCTTGGGTTGAGGAATTTTCAATGCCTTGGCACGCGCCTCAAGCTGCAAAGCTTCCATAGACCTTGGGCCCGGTTGGTTGGCTACGGGAAACATCTAGGATTGGGACTGGTCTTTCGCCGTTCATCACCACCACCTGAATATTGCGATGAACCATTTTTGACTAAATGAAGAATTTATACAACAGTTGCCATTCAAAGCTTCCAGGCACCACAGCTTGGCAGTCTTGTAGTGTTGTACAAGGGACTGCTGATGCCTAAGCTTGACCAATAACTTTCAATAGCTATCACACCATTTCAGAAATACTATAGTATCCCTTTCCCGGTGAAAATAGTAATGCAAAGCCTTGCGTATAGCAAATGAAAGGGGCTTCTCACTGAAACCCTCCACAGCACCCTCACTGTAAAGTGTGTTGAGAGCACCGTGACAGGTATCCAGGTTGCTGAGAATACCCTCAAGCTTGGTCAAGATCCTGAGTATGACACAGGGTATGGGTGGACTGGCGGGCTTGAACATGAACCTGTTTGACAATTCAAAAAAATAAGCTAAGAACTTGTTCATGTTGTCCGATCGTTCCGAAGGAGGAATGTTCTCGATCTTGCTCTTCACATCTGAAAGTTTGGAGATTCGCGTGTTGGTTCCATCAATGTAGTTGGAAATTACATCGCTGGCCACCTTTACGCCTTCCAAACTCGGAAGGCCCAGACCATCTCCCACGGCCTTCCTCGATGGATCTTGCGGCGCTTGGCCTCAGCCAGTGAAAATTCTTGGGGGTTGGACCAGGGCATTGAGGATACAAAATGACATGAGGGTAATTGACCATCGACCTATACCATTAACCCAATCCCCCAAGATGAAATTGGGAATGCCATTAAGGTGGGTTGCCTGAAGCGTCAATGCCCTGAAAGTCAGTGAAGTCCATGGCAATGTTGTGCCCCATGGTGACACCCCCCTGGTCGTCTACAGCGACATCCATTGTGGCAGTAGTGGTGTCACTCATCTCCAACTTCCGGGATTGCTCCATTGAAGCAGATGTTTTGCCTTCGACCCAATACTTGATCTTTGAGGAGTTGTATGTGTCCGACCTGCAAAGTGAAGAAAACTGATCAACAATAATTTAGTTGGCTATTGCTGGTTGAACCTTGCAACCCTTTATGTAAAAAATGCAAATGGGCCCCTGTTTGTAGCCAGCCTTTTGAAAGATGGATTCGCATCCCCGAAGGCCTTGATCTCCTTGATTCTCTCCCTGGGCTGGGGCCACACTGAGCCGATCATGAGAGCACACTGCTTTGTCCGGTCCATGACAACGAAAGGTTGAATATCCCTCGCAGTAAGTGGTTTGACCAAAAAGTTATTTTACAATCCATGTGACGAGTCAAGCTTAAGCTGGTCTTTCATTTCCAGTTCTGTGTAGAAATCACCAGTGACCATGACCTTCACCTCCTTTGAGTGACTGTTGCGGACAGTCACTTCACGTAGGAAAGCTTCCTGCAAGCGCTAAAGATTGATCCACCACGGTTCCCAGTGCTAGTGAATAGTGCTCAATTCCAAAAACAAACATTTTGGTAACCCTGACCTTCTCCATCCCTGTTTCCATCCAGACCTTAAGAAGCTTCTCTCGATTGGTACCACCAGATTGGAACTGTTGGTGAATGTCTTCACTCACCAGTAGCGATCCATCAGCCTTTCTCTCACAAAGCCGACGGAGACGTGCCCTGGCAGCTTCCTTGGTAATAGATATCTCGGCAGGGACCTCTGGCGCAGCCTTGTTCTCGAGCTGCACTTGCAAGCTTGCAAGCTCAAACTTACTAGCAGCCAAGTCTGCTGCTAATGATGCCTTTTCATCGGTCACTACCTGCACAACCCTTTGCAACTGTGCAACTTGGGTGGACAAAAAGGCAACTTTCTTAGACAAATCCGCATGCTCCCCATCACCACCAGTGTCGCCTCGGCCATAATCGGGCGTCGCCTGACCAAGGTTCATCGCTGCGAGGGTGCCCAATACCTCGAGCAGGTGGGGCAAAACATGAGCATGGGTTGGAGCAAATGCGGGAGTGCATGACAGTGCAGGATAATCACCCCAAAACAGAAGTTAATGAATGCTTAAGAAACAGCAGAGACATCTGCATCTTCAGGAGCTTCCGCTTCCAGATCGTCACTCGTAGGGTCACGCTGAGTCAGGAGTGCTGTCGCATCAGCAAATGACAGCCGACGTGGATTTGGTGGGCTGATGAGCATATAGGGGTCCTTCCCTGCTTTCTCCGGGGTAGGTTCCACAAATGCTGGCGTTGCCTCTGGGAGCTTCAATTTCTTGTTGGGAGCTGGGTTGGGTGATGGCTTCACAGGAGTCTGCAGCTTCTGTACAGCTGGGTTTGGCAGCATACCTTCCAATTCCTTGAGGGGAGAACCCAAAATGAAATCATGCAGATTTGATGTCATATCTATATAATATATATATAATTTAATGGATCCTAGTATAATATATCATATAGTCTGGGGAAACAGTCATTTTTCAACATAACCCCAACCTGCAGTTCCTCTTCCCATTCGCGAATTTGGGAGTCCGGCTCAACCTTGCACTGCTGAAAGTCGATCTGCTGCAGGCCTTCCCTCAAAGTCGCTGAGCTGAACTCTCTGGACGGTAGCTCAGGCCGGCCGGGGGCCGAGGAAGCCATGAGGAATCAATGGGGTCTGGTGGGAACCACTCTTTGGAAAACACTTGAGGCTTGAGGTTTGCATGCCATGGATGCCAAAGTGTCCCCTACAGAAAAACATGAAAAACACAGCAAAACAGATCAGTCATTGCAACTTGCAATACATCGAGTTGCTCCCTGTTTTTCGTGAATTGACCTCACATCGTTGCAGAGCCTTGGTGAGACCTCGCCTATCCTAGCCCAAAGGGAAAAGCTTGCAGTCAATCACGCGCCAATTGGCTCACCAAAAGCAGGGGTCCACCATTGTAAACTTGAGCCTCATTCAGCCAATTGACACGTGATAAGCTGAATTGAAGTGCACTCGATTGCATCGTGCATCCAAAACACTCTCCAGGACCCCTATCACAGGTTATGTGGGACTCATTTGGAAGGTTGTGGTGCCACCAACCCTTCAAAATACAATTTTAGGAGGTGTTGTTGGTGCCTGGGGGCGTACAGTGGTGTACACTCTGTACGCGTACAGTACGTACGGGGATACTCGCCGTTTGTACGGCCATACTCGCCGTTCTACGGGTCCCTAGTGTTGCACATTTGATCAAAAAAGGGATCACAAAGTGGTGGGGAGGCAGTTTCGCCAATCCTGAGGGATTTCCAGGAGCTTTGAGCCCCGGACATACCGAATGGCCGCTGGTAAGCAGGCATCCACCCATGTATCCTCCATGGGCGCCTCTGCAAAAGCCTTTCGAAGGCAGCAGTCGGGGCTCACCTGGGCCGGTCAGGGCATCATCACGGTAAGAAAAAGTTACCCTGCCAAGGTGTAATTTTTGGTTTGTAGAAAGTTGTTGGAATTGAATGTTGCAAAGAAGGAACTTCAGGTATGCGGCGATGTTCTGCCACAAACAATGGGAAGCAGTCAATGATGCGCTTGGCAAACTTGTAGGGATATACCCTGAGCCAAAGAATGTCCAGGGGTTAGGGTACTATGATGCGCATGGTCTGTGCTGGTTGCTCAATTCAAACAACTGAGGCCACGTCTGGGATCGCTTTAGAAAACGGTTTCCAGTAAACCTGAGTTTCTTGTTCTTGTCCTTGTAGCGGTCAGTGGTTTGCACAGGGCATTGTTCCATTTGAGCCTTGGAGAGCTTGGGCGTAGCCAGGACCTTGATCATCCGGTTGTTGCACCATGTTACAGTCCTCTTTGGTGAGTCTCCTCCCCAAAGTCTCATCCAGAAAGTCATGCGGTAAATCTTAGGTGCGATGGGCCCGTGGCAGACAATAACAAATATTGGGAGGTATCAGGGTGGTATCCTAGAAAAACAACAGAACACAGTTTGCTACAAAAAACTAGGCTTCACTATTCGTCCATGGGGCTGGCACTTTTTGGAGCCACTTGCGAATTAGTTCATCCAGGCGGTCATGACGCATTAATAGTGATGTACGCGGCTGTTCCACAATCCACGTCGCCCCGACAGCTTGACACAACATTAGTAGAAGTGCCAGCCTCAATTGGCATATGCCCAACAAATCCCAAACAAATCCATTAAACCCTCAAAAAATTGCAGTGCTGGGGCCAACACAAGAACCCAAAGGAGCCTTGCTTTAGTTGGACCAGAAACCTTGTCGCTTGCAAGTTCGCAGTTCGAACCTTTGCGTACTCGACATTCCCCATTGGACAAATCCAGGTTCGAAGGGTGGTTGATCTGGACGTTGATACCCACGATGAACACACTATGGCAAAGACTACAAGTGCAGCGTCAAGATCTGCCCGTAGTATTGCAATGAGGTCAACCTGGAGGAGGAGTTTGGAGGAGAGACTGCGACCCGATCCACTGGCAACCAAGTGAAACCAAAACAAAAGCTATTATGGTGATCCATTCCCCCCATCAAGCTAAAGTAACGCAAATCCACTGTCAGTGGTGGCATCCATTGATCCCTTCCTCCCCAACTCATCATCGTAGGCTATGTCGATGGCACATGCCTTCATGCGGTGTGCCCTGGCCCCACGAGCAATGCGAGCGGTTCCTGCATAGAGTTCCAAGACTTGATAGGACTTGCTGTCCAACATCGAGCAGGAGAGCCAGGAGCATAGCAGCACAAAAAACACAAAGGCCTGCGGTCGAAACAGTTGGGCCTGGGAATTCCCAAACAACATGCGACATGGTTTAAGGGTTGAAATTCATTGCCATCCCAAAACGATTGATCCACACCATGCCTTGGGAGCCCCAAGGCCCATGAGCCGCCGCAGTACCAAGTTCATGTCATCAGGGCGCACCATGTTGGAGGGGAGCAGTAGCCTACCCTCAAGATCCCTCAAGTAGTTGATCCTAAAATGCTCTTGCAGAAAAGATATGCCGCATGATGGTATCAATCAATCCCACTATGCGCAGCTGCCCTGGAATCAGCAGA